TCTTCATATAAAGTACAGTACTGCGAACGTCGGCGTGAGCACGGCGGCATTACAACTAGTGGAACGGCCTGGGTCCTCCGCTCATAAGTACAAGATGTTCGTAACTCCGGGACTGCCTGTGTAGTCAATGAAAATTCTCTGGCGTCTTTGGATTGTTGTACATTAAAAAAAAAAAAAGACCTACCCCGAAAATAAGACCTAGTGCGTTTTTTGGAACCCAAAAAAATATAAGACAGTGTCTCATTTTCGCGGAAACACGGTAGTAATGGAACCATGGCACATAGCATTGCCTAATGGGCGCGTCCAATTATCATCACATCATTGGCCTTATTTGAACATATACTACTTCCTTTTACGGACAATGGTGCACCGTGGCCCCCCGTGGCGCTGACATTACTCATATTGCTGTAAATATGTCATCAGGATGAGTCCCCTGATTGGCTGTCTGGGAGTCCTGGAGTGTGGAAAGATGAAATGAACCGGGGCCATAGAAAACCATCTGCCTCGATTGTCACATTCGACCGTGATTTGGCCTACATATCACTCCGTATAATTGCAATGTTGCGAAATAAATCTTAAAAAAAAGAACTGGAAATGTTAAAAAAGTAACCAGCACTCCAGGGGTTAAGTGCCCCATTTTGGTCTAGGGGCAAAAAAAATAAATAAATGAAAATATGGTCACATGATCCTCGGCCCTGAGGCGGTCACCTCTTTCTCCCTCCTCTCTGGCGGTAGAGTGTCCCTCAGCGCCCTCGTGTGCCAGCTGCATTAGATGTGATGACCTCAGCGGCCCTTAGACCACCGGAGCCAGGGAAGAAGAGGCTGCAGGGACCGGTCTAGCAGCCGGGTAAAAGGTGAGTATATCTGCCTTATATTACCCCCCCCCAGACCAAAAGGAGCAATCAACCCTTTGAACTCCGGGGGGTAGCCCCACTGCAAGGGTTCATTTTTTACATTTCTTCTTCTTTAAAGCCCAATTGAGCTCTCAGTTTAATTGATTGTAATGGCGGGGGGTGGGGATTGCGACGGTGGGGTCTGTTACATATACCATTGAAAGTGTTTTGTTATATCTGTTCGAAGTGAAAAATATTTCCTGTTGATCCTGCCAGAAATCCAGGGAGCTGATCACTGATAACTTCCTCTGTTCTCTGCCTGTGGTGACTTTTTTCTTTTCTGTGGTCTACAGATCGGCTCCCCCTCTGCTTATCTCAAT